TGACTACTACCCATTGGGCCATGTCTTAACTTCTTCCCACTTCTGTACAGCGGAGATAAGAGCACCCGTCTGCTGGGGTTGCTCTGAGGACTCAGTGAGGTCGTGCGTAGCACAGGGCCTGGCCCTTAGGAAGAGGGTCCTATGTTAACAGTCCCAGCGCTCAGATCTGTTGGGAGCAGTGAGTGTGCTTTCAGTGACATGTTTATAAAGGGAATGTCCGGAGGAGGAGGAGGAGGAACAGGAGGAGGAGAAGAAGAAACAGAAGGAGGAGGAGGAACAGGAGGAGGAGGAAGGGGACAGGCGAGGAAGAGCCGAGGGACCTGAAGAAGGCTTGAGGGTCTGTAACTGGAGAGAACAGGTGTTTGGGGAAGCAGGTGTATGTGCTGCTTAAACAACCCCAGGCCCGGTCGGCTGTGAGGAGGGACTGGGGCCGGAGGCAGTGTGTGGGAGCGGACACCGTGGTGCCCCCGGAGCTGGGGAGCGTGCCGTGGGGGAGACCCACAGAGCAGTGCTTCCCAGCACGTCGCTGCCGCCCCCCCGGCGTGTGGCTGGTCCTGGGGACACACGGACAAGCACTTGGCTGTGTGTATATTTATGTGTACACTTGGTACATGCATGTCCATATACTTGGCACATGGTTGTACATATATATGGACATCTATTTCTATGGTTTCACAGAAGTAGGTAGCAATGTCAGGCCTGGGCCAAACTTAAAATACATCTATATTAAGTGTTATGGACGCAATGTTTGTATCCCCCCCGCCCAAGTTCACATGTTGAAACCTAACCCCAATGTGATGGGGTTAGCAGGGGGGGCCTTTGGAAGGTGATTAGGTCATGAGGGTGGAGCCCTCATGAATGGAGTTAGTGCCCTTAGAAAGGCCGCCAGAGAGGTCCCTCGCCCCTTACACCAGAAGGACACAGAGAGAAGACGCCCCCACAGCGTGGGAGAGAGCTCTCCCCAGACGAGCCATGCTGGCGCCCTGGCCCTGCACTGCCCCCTGAGCTGTGAGGAGTGAGACCCTGTGTTTCTGAGCCCCTGGTCTAGGGCACTTTGCTGCAGCAGCTGGAACAGATGAGACCGGGAGCCAGCAATTACAGAGCACGTGTGGATGTGGCAGAGCTTGGCAGCCTCGGAGGAACTTCCCACGTGGGTTCGGAGATTGGACTCCGTGACCCTGTATGTTGCTTCCCCTCCAATGTAGACTGTACCCCGTGACCCCCACACTCTGATGCAACCTAGAGAGGGTGCCTCTGGGAAAGGGGTTGCCACCTTCAGTGAGGCCAGGATGACTGTGCCGCTGGTTTCCCTGGGGTAAGGGCCGTGAGCCGCAGAGAGAAGGAGCCAATGGCCCTGCCCCTGGGCCCTGCCCCCCTCATGCGCCTCCTGCGCCTGCTCCCCCGCCTGCTGTGCGTTTTCCTCACAGCACCTGCTTCGATAACCGGCGTCTTTTTGTCCATTGGTTGAGGCCAGAGACTCTGGTCCACAGCTCTCCCTCAGAGCAGCAGAAGCAGGAAGGCTGGCTGCCAGCCTGGAGGTGGTG